GGCTTACAAACTCCTTTCCCTTCCCCTCCCCACAACAGACACCCTGTGAGGTGGGTGGGGCTGAGAGAACTCTGACACAAACTGCTCTTTTTCAAGGACAGCTGTGCCAGAGCTTGTGACTGACCCAAGGTCACATCAGCAGGTGCAAGTGGAGGAGTGGGGAATCAAACCCGGTTCTCCCAGATTAGAGTCCGCGCACTTAACCACTACACCAAACTGGCTCTCCAGAAGGAATGCAGCAGTACTTGGTACACAGGGCAAGCAAGCATCCCACCCCCAACCATTATGGCAGCATAGCTGACATTTAGTGGGTAAGAACCAGTCGTCTGACTATAAAAGTTTCAGGTTGAAAAAAGAAAGACCAGAGGCAGCCAACACACCCTCTAAGCTATGGAGACTTGTGAGCAAGAATTCTATTTGTGAGCTACTAGCATTAAAGTTGTGAGTGAGCAATTTGACTACTGCATAAATTAGTTTGCTCTGGAGCCCTCCTTCCTGAGCTATAAGACAAGAATGGGTGAGCCGGAGGCTAAAAAACTGAGCTAGCTCACACTCACTCAGTTTATTTATTTATTTATTTATTTGTCACATTTATATCCCACACCTAGGGTTGCCAAGTCCCCCCGGGGGGCAGGGAAACCCCCACTCAACAGGCCTGTTCCCCCCCGGTGTGGATCGGGCTGCCCGGGGGGACCCCACCCCCAAAGCGTGCGACGTGCCCGGCGTGAACACGTCACCCGTGCTGCTGATGTTATGTTAGGGCCAGGGCCAAGATATTAAGGGAGGCCCCCTAATTGAAAGCCTGGCGGAAGAGCTCCATTTTACAGGCCCTGCGGAACTGTACAAGGTTCTGCACGACCCTGATGTCATCCATGAGCTCATTCCACTAGTAAGGGGCCGCCACAGAGAAGGCCCTGACCCTTGTTGCAGCCAGCCTGGCTTCTTTAGGGCCCGGGAGGACCAGGCAATTTTGGGATCCCAATCTTAGTGCTCTCTGGGGAACATGTGGGGAAAGGCGGTCCCTCAGGTAAGTAGGTCCCTGACCATATAGGGCTTTAAAGGTAAGAACCAGCACCTTGAACCGAATCCGGTATGCTATAGGCAGCGAGTGCAGCAATTTTAGGGAAGCTGGATGTATTTTCCCACATAGGAAGACACAACAACAGCCTCGATGCTGCATTCTGCACCTGCCGCAGCTTCCAGATTTGAGACAAGGGCAGCCCCATGTAGAGAGCATTGCAGTAGTCCAATCTCGAGGTGACCATTGCATGGATCACTGTTGCCAGGTCATCGCGTTCGAGGAAGGGAACCAACTGCCTGATCAGCCGAAGATGGTAAAAGGCCGACTTGGCAGTGGCTGCTACCCGGGCCTCTATCGTTAAGGAGGCATCCAGGAGCACTCCCAAACTCCTAACCTCCGGCGCTGGCACTAGCGGTGCCCCATCGAAGGTCAGGAGAGGGATCCTTAACCCTGGCCCACTCTGACTCAGGCACAGGACCTCCGTCTTCGTCGGATTCCATTTCAATCGACTCAGTCTAAGCCAACCAGCCACGGCTTTCAACGCCAGGTCCAGGTCTCCTGGACTAGAGTCTGGCTGGCTGTTCAACAACAGATACAGCTGGGTGTCATCTGCATACTGTTGACAATCCAGCCCATGCCTCCGGGCAATCTGGGCAAGGGGGCGCATATAGAGGTTAAGTAACATCGGGGAGAGCACTGCCCATTGGGGCACTCTGCATATTAGCAGGTGCCTTCTGGATAGCCGTTCCCTAAGCTTAGAGGGAACATTGGGAGCTGGCCTTTCTCCCGAATTGGCGGTGCTCGAAGCCCGATTTCCCTGTCCACTCCCAGCTCTGCCCGGCTAGGATTCTCTCTTGCTTCAGGTACATTGTTCAGAATTCTCTGGTTGATCCCTGAGTACTTCTGAAAAACCAGATCTTCCTTTCACTACCGTGACTGAATGTGGCAGATTTCTGAAGGGGGGGGGGGGTTAACTTAAGACGGTTGGTTATTCATAATAAGTAAAGACTTTTGAATGTAGAACTGCGCTTTCTAACTGAATGACACTAATAATTCATGGGCACAAGGATATATATGGAGAAACGCCTCCCTAGAAAACACTGTGTGTGTGTGTGTGTATTTTAATTAATTTCTTAGAAGTCTCACTTGGAAACATGATGTTTTAATCTTTGTTTTTCAACAATAGGGCACCACCAAACAGAAGATGATGACGTCAAGATGAACGGACGAACCTCCCGAGTTACCGTTCGTTTTGAAGTTTCTTTATCAAACAGGTCTCCTATCAAGAAATAGATACAGCTTATAGCAGGGAACCTGCTGACCGAACTCGCATCAACTTTAACAATATTGTTCGTCCGTTCATCTTGACGTCATCATCTTCTGTTTGGTGGTGCCCTATTGTTGAAAAACAAAGATTAAAACATCATGAAGCTCGTCAGCTCATCAGTACTATTGTTTAATTATTGTCTATTATTCTTAATTGTATGCACTTTGCAGCAAGGAAATTCTTGGTTCTAGCCTTGGACTCCCTATCAGTTAAAAGGCTCTGGGCAAGACACCATTTCTCAACTGGAACCTCTTTACAGACATAGGAACCCTGGGTCCTCAAGCATCTAAAATCCCAAGACTTATGGAGAAGGGCATAAAAGTACTACAGACCCAGTTTGGTGTAGTGGTTAGGAGCACTGACTCTGATCTGGGAGAACCAGGTTTGATTCCCCACTTCTCCACATGCAGCTGCTGATGTGACTTTGGGTCAGTCACAAGTTCTTTCAGAGCTGTTCTCTCACAAGCCATCCTTGAAAGAGAGCTCTCTCAGTCCCACCTACCTCACAGGGTGTCTTTTGTGGAGAGGGGAGGGGAGGGGAGGGGAAAGGAGACTGTAAAGTGCTCCTTTGGGCAGTGAAGGATGGGGTATAAATCCAATCTCCTCCTCCTCCTCTTCTTATTCTTTGAGCAGGGCTTCCACACATGAGTAGAAAGTGTATCATGTTATATTTGTGTTGTAGTTGCACATGGATAGCTTTGAAAACATGAACTATTCAAAGTCTTGTCAGGTTGCCCACCATAGCGGTCAGCCTTCTAGCTCAAGCGACCCTCTTCCGCTGCTGCTCAAAACATCAGGGGGAGCAAAAAGGGGTGGGGGGACCAGCATCACACAATGCCATTTTGTCCCTGGAAGCGATGTCACAGCATCACTCGGCACTCTAGGAATTCCCCAAACCTCTATGGTTTTCGTCCAGTACGAACCCAGTTGTAACACAAACAGCATCGCACAACCCCAGTTTCTGCAGTTCTCCTCCTCCATGTTCCTGCAAACAAAAGACTCTTAGCTGACAACCTGAACTATCCACGACATACTTTTTAAAAAAAATATGTTAATATTGTAGTGTGAATGGGAATATAAAGATTTTCGTATATAGGTTTTTTCTTCTTGATTGTTCATGTTCATATTTCTCTGGTTTTTATAGATTTATTCTTTAAGTAATATTTTATTAGGATGTTAGAAAGGCCTGTTATATAGAAGGGTTTCCTCTTGTAGGTCTGATATTGCTAGCAGACAACATAATAGGTACAAAGTTCATGATTCTGTAGTTCTTAGGGAAAACCTTTCTATGTCTGGGTCAGATAAGATTTTAGTCTTGTATCAGTAAGGAAAACTTTTGTTTAGGTAAGAACAAGCTTTAGCCGATATGCCTTAGGTCATGTCAAGTAAATATGTGACGCCATTGCATAGACACACCTTTCTTACATTTGACCAATAAGGAGATTTTTATGTAAATGTTGTTTAAGGTTTTGTAACCAATTATGCCTTTTGAATATTATTCCCATGATGATGGTATGATGATGTCATTTTAAGTATTTAACTTAAAATAACTTAACTTATATATTTCCTGAATATGTTCAGAATATGCTCAAGAAGAAGAAGAAGAAGAAGAAGAAGAAGAAAGTTGTCAATTTCAGGTTAACTATTTGGTCTAATTGTTTTCCTATTAATTGAGGCCTGTTTCCTGATTATGCTGAGAAGAAAGCAATCAGTTTTGATGGGTCCTTTGGCCCAACTGTTTTCCATATTTCATTACAATAAAATACAAGAACTTCCTCCTCATTTGACTTCATTTTTGACATGGAATCTAATGTTTACAACAACATGGAAATAAACTGTGTGCCAAACCAAACGTAAAACATAGCTGAGTTGCTGTTGCCCGATCATTGCTTCCTGCCTCCAACGCCCATGTCAGCAGAAGCAACAGATATGCATGGAGAGAAGCCATCGGCTGTGTGGGCTAGCTGCCAGGCCCTGAGGCTTCCACCTGACACCCTGAGAATAAGCCCCCCAAGAGACCTTGCTCCTAGAGCCCCCCGTTCCATCTCTACATTGATCTCAACAGTTACTACACAGGTACTTTCACACGTCCCTCGAAACGTTTTAAGCAATATATCTGGTAACAGAGAGCAGCAAGAACAGGCGTCCACAAATCTTGGCTTCCTCCTTCCCTTCCTCTGCCCTTGTGGTGCTTTCTCTAAGCACAGGGATGTATTCAGCAGCCATCTGGGGCTCAAGGAGCCAATTGTGCAATCCTCTGTAGAAACTCCCCCACACCCCTTGCACCACTCTTTTGCATTCCATATGTGGCAACTGGCTGGATGTTCCTTCTTTTTGGATCTATATAATAATTCAGAGAACAAGTTGGGGGAGAGAGACTTGGCTCTGCGAAATCCATCCCTTGGCCTCTGCGAGTATCCAGCACTCAGGCGAGACCAAACTTGGGTAAGTCAGAGGAGCCCGTGGTCTGGGTTTGACTTCTCCTGTGTGAACCTGCTTCAAGTGTCCTTACTCTGAGAGATTGGGCGGAGTGGGTATCAGGGGACAGGGCCTTCTCAGTGGTGGCACAAGTCCTTCTTGGAGAAGGACGCTTGGTTCCTATTAAGACAAGGTTAAAACCAGGGTTGCCAAGTGAGGCCGACAAGCCAGCAGGGGACTTAGCAGGAGGCTCCAGGAGAGGGGAGGGAAGAAGTGCGGCCGTCACATTTAAAGGGACCGCGTTATGCCAGTTTGGTGCAGTGGTTAAGTGTGCGGACTCTAACCTGGGAGAACCGGGTTTGATTCCCCACTCCTCCACTTGCACCTGGCTGGATGACCATGGGCAAGCCGTAGTTCTGATAAGAGCTGTTCTTGAAAAAGAGCAGTTTCTGTCAAGAGCTCTCTCAGCCACTGTTCCCTCTAAGCTGAGTTAGTGTGAGCTAGCTCACAATTTCTTAGCCTCTGGCTCACACATTTTTGTCTTAGCTCAGGAAGGAGGGCTCCAGAGCAAACTAATTTATGCAGCAGCCAGGTCAGTTGCTCACAACTTTAATGCCAGTAGCTCACAAAGTAGAATTTTTGCTCACAAGATTCTACAGCTTAGAGGGAACATTGCTCTCAGCCCCACCTCCCTCACAGGGTGTCTGTTGTGGGGAGGGGAAGGGAAAGGAGTTTGTGAGCCGCTCTGAGACACCTTTGGGTAGTGAAGGACAGGGTATAAATCCAATCTCTTCTTCTTCTTCCCTCCACCGGAAATAATGGAGATATGGGCACCTTCTTTGGGAGCTCATAAAAGCCCTGGTCCAATCTTTTTGAAAGGGCTAGTAACAGCAGTTGGCCTGAGGGCCCCTTCGTTCCGTTCTCGCTCTTGCTAGTGCTTATTTTACTTTAGCTGTTTTAATGTGTTGCTAATGTATTTTAATCTGCTTTTCCAAATATATTTACCTCAGCCACCTTGTGAGGTATACTGTGGACAGACAGGATATAAGCAGCTTAATCCAGACAACCTGTAAAGACTAACGTCTCCATAGCTTCCTAGATATAATCTGTATACTTAGATTCTTATCTAAGCACCTTAAAGGAACATGGAGCATATCCCTTTTCTTCAGAGGGCCTGTGAGGAATTTGCCATCACGGCTAATCGCTATTGATGGTCTTACTCTTCAGGGATCTCTGTGGCCATGACCATAGTGGTGAAACATGAAACAGCCGTATACAGAACCAGACTGTAGGTCTATCAAAGTCAGTATGACAGTGGCTCTCCAGGGTCTCAGACAGGTAGTCTTTCGCATCACCTACTGCCAGAATTTTTAACTGGAGATGCTGGGGATTGAACCTGGGACTTTCTTCATTCCAGGAAGATGCTCTACCACTGAGCCACCGTTCCACACCCCAAATGCCCCTGCATTTACCCTTAACTCTCTCCAATATATATGAAGGGTTACCAATCACTATAATAAATTAAGCAAACCAGTGCAGAACATTGGGACCATACTGAGGCCATCTAATGGGGTCATTTTAAAAGTTTTTGATGCTTAAACCATTTGGCAGTATTTAACAGCCAATAGGCAAACAATCATATTTAGTTTCAGGTGGAGTAGCCGTGTTGGTCTGAAGCAGCAGGCCAACGTTTGAGTCCAGTGGGCACCTTGAAGACCAACCAAGTTTTATTCATGGCATAAGCTTTCGTGTGCAAGCACACTTTGTCAGATATACAGTGGAAAGAACCTGTATCTTTCTCTTTTCCACTTTATCTGAGGAAGTGTGTTTGCACATGAAACCTAATACCACGAATAAAACTTGGTTGGTCTTTGTTGGTGCCGCTGGACTCAAACTTTGTTCCGATAATATTTAGAGTTCAACAGGCCCTGACAGAATCTTGAGTTAATCTGAACGTTGATACGTCTGTGTCCTGTAATACCCAGCATCAAATGCTCCATTAGCAATAACATTTCATATTTGACTTGTACTGAATTTGATCTTCAGTATTTGATTACGGAGATCTTGACCCAGCGAAAGTTAGGTTTAGTATCCCCTGAGTTAGAAAGCCTAGGTCCGGACCATACCATTTTAGAAGAAGAAGAAGAGATTGGATTTATACCCCGCCCTTCACTTGGCGTCTCAGAGCGGCTTACAAACTCCTTTCCCTTCCCCTCCCCACAACAGACACCCTGTGAGGTGGGGGGGGCTGAGAGAGCTCTGACACAAACTGCTCTTTTTCAGGAACAGCTGTGCCAGAGCTTGTGACTGACCCAAGGTCACATCAGCAGGTGCAAGTGGAGGAGTGGGGAATCAAACCCGGTTCTCTCAGATTAGAGTCCGCGCACTTAACCACGACACCAAACTGTCTCTCTTTTTAGGCGGCAGGTGAAGGCTCACATGTTCAAATGTTGGCACACAGAAAACTGGATATGAAGGAGAAAGCTTCTAGCCCAGCCTTCTCCCTGGCAGTTAGTTTTCAGTGTGGAAGGCTTCTGTATGTGTGAAGGAGCCATTGACTCTTCCTGCACTCTGAAGTGGTACAGTCCATGTACAGGTTTACTGCCTCCATGAGATCTAGACCTTGACAATAGCTGCAGTCCACTGCACACTTACAATATTTTGCCCACTGTTTTGGAATTTAACCTCATTAAACGTAACAGGATTTATTTCCTGGGTAAACGTACAGAGCTATCACACCTCATAAGGATGTCAGCTTTACCTCAGGATAAGTCCATTCAGTGGAGCATAGTTCTGAGGAAAAGGTACAGAATCCGACCATAAAAACTCATTGGAGCCAGGAGACCTGGGTCAGTCTCTCCCCAGTCCTTCCACTGGTCCCAACAGAGCGATGTTCCCTCTCAGCTATAGTCCTGTGAGCAAAAATTCTACTTTGTGAGCAACTAGCATTAAAGTTGTGAGCAGGTGATTTGGCTACTGCATAAATTGGTTTGCTCTGGAGCCCATCCTTCCTGAGCTAAGACAAAAATGTGTGAGCCAGAGGCTCAAAAACCGTGAGCTAGCTCACACTAACTCAGCTTAGAGGGAACATTGGTTGTGACTAACGTCATAGCTGGGCCTCTGACAAAGTGCAGCAGACCTGTGAGGGCCAAAAGAAGTCAAAAGGGCTGGACAGCGCTTCAGAAGGTGCAGACAACTCTCACGTTATGATGTTCAAAGCAATGGCTGGCTGCTTTCCGGGTGCCCACTAGAAACCATGCTCACCTGTGGACCAATCAAGGGTGGGCGAGTTCAAAAGCCTTCCTGTGGGGATTCACTCCCAGGCACACAACAGACATGCGCAGGAAGGGATGGGCTCTCCCCACAGTTATTAGGGGAGGGGGGGAAGAGCCCCAGAAAACCCAGAGAGAACAGAACAGAATTACTCATTAACTAGAACCCAGAGACATTTTGAAGTGAAGACCAGGGGTCGTTTCATAGAAAAAGAGCTCGGGGAACTCATTAGCATAACTCATTAGCATATGCCACACACCCTGACAATGGACCTGCAAGGCCGGCGGGAGTGCAAGGAAGCCCCGCGAAGGCCCTCCCTGGCCCCAGGCAGGCAGGGGTGGGGAGAGGCAGGGAGGAAGCAACTTACCCTCCCTCTTCTCCTGCCTCCTCCTGGCTGAATGAGGGCCGGAAGCGGGGCGGCCGGAAGCAGGGGGCGGGGCTTTGTCATGTGCCCCGCCCCCCACACCTCACCCGGGGGGGACTGCGATCCCCCGCAATCCCCCCGTAATGACCTCTGGTGAAGAGGGTCCTGAAAATTCAAATCACCACATGTTTTGTTTCAGAGCTAATCTGAAAATCATGCAAAAGGAGGTTGGTGGGATGCTGGGTTGCCAGCTCCAGGTCGGGAAGGGGGAGACCTCAGCAGGGCAGTGTTCCCTCTCAGCTGAGTTAGTGTGAGCCGGCTCACAGTTTTTTAGCTTCTGGCTCACACGTTTTTGTTTTCGCTCAGGAAGGACAGCTCCCGAGCAAACTAATTTATGCAGTGGCCAAATCGCTGGCTCACAACTTTAAGGCCAGTCGCTCACAAAGTAGAATTTTTGCTCACAGGACTCCGTAGCTTAGAGGGAACATTGCAGCAGGGTGCAAATGCCACCGCAGAGCCCATCCTCCAGAGCAGTCATTTTCCTCCAGACTATGGAGATCAGTTGTCGTTCCGGGAGATCTCCAGACCCCCCCTGGAGGCTGGCAACCCTGTTTCCTGGGTGATACCACTTTACGCTGCAATGGAGGTGGCCACTCTTATAATGGAAACCCCAGTGCATGTAGTGAAGCAGCACCTCTGAGGGAAAGATGTAGCCTAGCCATGCATAGTCCTGTGCAAGGAACTTTTTCATGTGAGGAAACACTCAAGAAATGAGACAAGCAAGCGTTCACCCCCCACCTGCAGTCTGACATGGTACAATACAGCTCCCCCCCCCCACCCCGTCACCCCCGTCAGGAGCTGAAAGCCTCTCATGTTTAAACAATAAATCCAAATAATCAATAAACAGCCGTGTGGTGCCGTGTTCAAGAGCACCAGACTAGTATCTGGAAGATGCAGGTTCGATTCCCCCCTCATGCCATGGAAACTCACTGGGTGACCTTGGGCGAGTCACGCCCTCACAGCCTGACCTTCCTCACAAGGACAAAATGGAGTGGAGGAGAATTCTGTAAGCCAATTTGGGTCCCCATTGGGGGGGAAAGGCGAGATATAAATGAATGAAATAAATAAAATAGAGGACTAAATAACTGTCTCCCTCAGGGGTCATTTCGTAGAAAAAGAGGAGCAGGAGCTCATTAGCATAACTCATTAGCATATGCCACCCCCCCTGACATCACCTGAAGTGTGTCAGAAGGCAACGCTCAGGCTCCACTGGACTGTTTTGGATTGCTAGCTATTGGAGGGGGGGGAACGTGCAGATCTGTCCTCACAGAGGAGGGAGAGCTTGTACCTGAACAAAACTTGGTCTTAAAGGTGCCACTGGACTGATTTGGACCAGGGGGGCCGGGGGGAGCTCTGCAGCTTACCTGGCTCCTTCTTGCTCTGACTGAGGGCTGCTGGGAGAAGGGGGTGGGGCTTGTTGCATGTGCCCGCCCCCTGGGCTCTTTACTGCCGGAGCTCCGCTCCTGTGCGCTCCTGCAGGAAATGACCCCTGGTCTCCCTTGAGGCTGAGATATAGATTTCAAATTTCTTTTAATTTTCCGTAGTCTCCAACACCCCCCACCAGGATGTCCCCCAAGATCTCCTTCTGGCTGCTGCTGCGTTTGGCCGTCCTTCTGGCAGCTCTTCTGGTACAGTCCAGCGAAGGGGCCACCTACCAGGATTTCAGAAACAGGCACATAGATCATCCGAAAACCAGAGCCGCCAACAACAACGCCTACTGCAACCTCATGATGAGGCGGAGAGGCATGATGAATCGCACTTGCAAGCCCACCAACACGTTCATCAACAACAGCCCCAACCACATCCAGCATGTCTGCCGCGGGGGAGGGCGCCGGGTGAATAGGAATATTTTCGAAAGCAGAAGGCGTTTCAGTGTCATCACCTGCCGCAGTAGAGGCCGTTTCCCTAACTGCCAATATGTCGGCAGAAGACAGAGCAAGAGAATCCGTGTGGGCTGCGTCCGCAGCCTGCCCGTCCACTTTGACAGGCTCGTCTAGGGCGAAGCAGCCCGCAACCCACCCGCAGGAAGCCAGAAGTGGAATGGAATCTTGAAACGGCGGCCATCTTGTTCTGCTTTGCTTGATGCGTTCTCAGCAATGGATCTCTGGGCCATCGTCACTGTTCATACTCAAACTCAGTTAGCAGGTGTTCCTTCTCCCCAGGGAATCCCGGGAATCGTCGTTCTGCACAAGAGAGCTCAAAGATCACTAATGCAGGATGTTCGGTGTTAGGCTTGCCAAGTCCCCCCGGGGGGCGGGGAAACCCCCGCCCCAGAGGCCCGTTCCCCGCTGCCAGCGGATCGGGCCCAGGGGGAACCCCACCCCGACGTGCACATCACCCGGAAGTGACGCGACGCCGCCGGGCACGCTGTGGGCGGAGCCACAGTCATCCGAGGGAAAACTATGGCGTGGCCCTGCCCCCAGCGTGCCCAGCGTCGTCACGTCACTTCCAGGTGACGTGCGTGCGGCGCGTGCTCCAGATGCCAGACGGGAGTCCCCCGCTGAGGCTTGAAAACGACTTGGCAACCCTCCTCAGTGTTGTCATCAGACTAGAAATCCCAGGGTTCTTTGGGGGGAAATACAATAGTTGAAGCAGTGGTATAAAGCCATCCGTGCTGACAGAGGCTGAAAAACCTGGCTCCGGCCAGCCCCTTCAGCCCTTGATGAAAACAAAACCACAGGGTGTCAGTCATTAAAGGCCTGGCTCACACATGTACAGGCATCTCTTGGGTTCTCTACCCTTTGTTACCATCTCTACCCTTGTGACAGGGAGGAGAATGTGTGAACTATCTCATCTCCCCTGAAAAAAATTGCGCCTGACGTGATACTGTCTGCCAGTGATCACTTGACGCTGTTTCTATTTAATGTCATAGATTATGTGTGAAGGCTGAAATCCCAAATCCAGTAGCAACTTAAAAACCAGCAAGATCTTCCAGGGGACAAGTTTTTGTGAGTGAGGTTCCCCTTGTCAGATATCTGGAAAGTCTTGTTGGTTTTTAAGGTGCTACTGGACTTGAATTGTGGCCTACCATCATAAGACTAACCCTCCTACCCTGAAATGTGGAGAATGGTTGGGTTCACAGGTTTTTACTTTTGAACTATCTCATTCTTACCAGTTTACCGTTCAGCACTCAGTCTTGTGCATACACACATCAATGCTTCTCACACATCGCTTTCATATTCTCCTTTACACAGACACACGCAAAATACACAGACACATATATAATCACATTCATGCTGCTCCTCAGTTCTCACACACTATTCTCTGTCATACGCAACCAGCCATGCAGTTCATACGCCCCACTGATGTACCATACAGCCATCCACTTGGCCGTCTGTTGGCTACCAATAGCACCTCCCCTCCTTCTCTCTTCTGCTCCCAACCCGAGATGTTTGAAGCCTTTGCGTGCTGACTGGGTTTGGTTTGGAGTTGGGTTTATCTTTTCCCTAAACTTCTGAGCAGCTGGAATCTTCATGAACATTCCATTAACACCTCCTCAGTTAAGCCATGAGGCCTGTTTCAGTCAACTGAAGCTAGAATCCTCACAGCCAAGAGCAAAGGAGGTTTTAAACGCTGCAGGCGTTTAAACCTACCTCAAGTTTTATTTTACATTGAGTTTATCTAACAACGGAGGGGTCAGATGTCTTAGGGTGTGTGTGGGGGGGTTTCATCACAGTGACATGCTCTTCATTACTTTCCAAGCACTATTTGCCTCCCTGCCGTCATTACTGTGACCCGTTATGGTTGCCAACCTCCAGCTGGGACCTGGAGATTGCCCAGAATTACAATTGCTCTCCAGACAACAGAGATCAGTTCCCTGGAGAAAACGGCTCCTTGGCAGTGGGGAGTTTATGGCATTATACTCTGCTGAGACCCCTCTGCTCCCCCCAAACCCTATACAGGTTGACTGGGTTGTCCTAAGGCTCCTCTTGGTAATTTCCCAGCCTGGAGTTGGCCACTCTACAAGTAACCATTGATCCAACTGAGGCTTTGACTGAAATGATATAAGTAGCTGCAACCCTCCTGATATTGTTTTCTCCTGCCCTCTGGTGTTCGTTGGACAGTATTACAGCCCTTCCCGTCCACCGTCTCTACAGTCAAACTAATCCTCTCTACTTCCCCACGGAGGAACCACTGTATCAGGATGACGACAAGCATATGCTGGTGGCTTGCTTTTGCCCCTCTATCAAATAAATTCTTGCAAATGCAAAAAATAATGTTTGTTTGTATAAGTGTGGTATCCAGTTTCTAAACTGAGAATGTCTGGGCTTGTGTCTCCCATCACTGGCCAGCTTCCCTTGCTTGCCGGAGCTGCTGTATCTCCAGGGGAAGGAATCATATGATTGAGAACAGGGTGTTGTTGTTTTTTCCATTTTCACATTCTCTTTTTCTTCACGTGCAAACCTGTCATAAGCACGGGAGGGGATTCCCGCAGCGTAGGGTTGCCAACCTCCAGGCGCTGGCTGGAGATCTCCTGGGGATTATAACGGATGCCCAGACAACAGCTGGAGAAAATGGCCCCTTTGTAAAGGAGACTCAATGACATTATACCCCACTGTAGTCCCTTCCCTCTCTCCCCAAACTCCACCCTCCTCCGGCTCCACCCACAAAATCCCCAGGTATTTCCCAACCTGGAGCTCGCAACCCTACCGACAGGTAGTGCACATGAGCATCCTTCCACTCAGAGAAAAGGATGTGTTTGGAAGAAGGCTAAGCTAGACGCCTTCTCCTTCTTCTGCAGTCTTCTATAGGCCAGCGTTTGACCTTGTGAGACCCTGCATGCCATCTGACCCGGCTGGCCCAGGCTACCCTAGTCTTGCCAGATCTCGGAAGCTACGCAGGGTCAGCCCTGGTCAGCATTTGGATGGGAGACCATCAAGGAATACCAGGGTCACTACACGGAGGTAGGCATGTCGCGCAGTCTCGCGCAGTATGCGTCACCGGGTCAGCTTTCAGCCAAAGATCCAAATTGCACCCTGCTAAGATCCCACTGCAGTAAACCACGCTCACACAGTTCTTGCGGTTGACTGTATACAGCGATTTATTTCCAATATATACAGCTCTCTCCGTCAAAGTGCTCCGCCATACGCTCATACAAATAGAAGGGAATACAATGTACAGACTACACACACTTATATACACTTGACCAGCCAACCAGCTTACTGCAGAGTCACAGTGAGGTAGCTCAGCTTAGCTCCAGTCAGAATGGTTTGCTCTGGTTCTTCAGACTGTCAGACACCTGTCAAATAGATTGGCATGATCACACGTGCTGAAGCTTTATACCTCTCAACAAGGCAATGGCAAACCATCTGTGAACGTCTCTTGCCTTGAAAACCCTACGGGGTCGCCACAGGTTGGCTGGGACGTGACATCCAAAGACAGAGCCAGGTTCCCCCTATCAGGGAGCCCTAAAGCTTGAAGTGATAGCAGAGTTCTGTCGGTGCCGTCTGATCTGTGAATTCACACATGCCAGTCAGTGTTCCCTCCAAGCCACCGGTTCCCGAAATGGGCAACACTGCTGGAACGATCCAGGTGGGCGGTAGGAGGGAGGTAGGCATGTCGCGCAGTCTCGCGCAGTATGCGTCACCGGGTCAGCTTTCAGCCAAAGATCCAAATTGCACCCTGCTAAGATCCCACTGCAGTAAACCACGCTCACACAGTTCTTGCGGTTGACTGTATACAGCGATTTATTTCCAATATATACAGCTCTCTCCGTCAAAGTGCTCCGCCATACGCTCATACAAATAGAAGGGAATACAATGTACAGACTACACACACTTATATACACTTGACCAGCCAACCAGCTTACTGCAGAGTCACAGTGAGGTAGCTCAGCTTAGCTCCAGTCAGAATGGTTTGCTCTGGTTCTTCAGACTGTCAGACACCTGTCAAATAGATTGGCATGATCACACGTGCTGAAGCTTTATACCTCTCAACAAGGCAATGGCAAACCATCTGTGAACGTCTCTTGCCTTGAAAACCCTACGGGGTCGCCACAGGTTGGCTGGGACGTGACATCCAAAGACAGAGCCAGGTTCCCCCTATCAGGGAGCCCTAAAGCTTGAAGTGATAGCAGAGTTCTGTCGGTGCGGTCTGATCTGTGGATTCACACATGCCAGTCACTGTTCCCTCCAAGCCACCGGTTGCCGAAATGGGCAACACTGCTGGAACGGTCCAGGTGGGCGGTAGGAGTCTTGGGTGCAAATTGGTCACTGCATCTTTTTTTAATCCACTTTTTCAAGATAGATTTCCAGGGGGGCCCTGAGTAAAAAAAAAAATCCTGAAAAGTGGGCAGTGGGCCAAATAAGTCTGGGAACCTCTGCTCTAAGCTGAGTGAGTGTGAGCTAGCTCACAGTTCTTTAGCCTCCAGCTCACAGATTTCTTTTCTTTGCTCAGGAAGGGATGGCTCCAGAGCAAACTGATTTATGCAGCAGCCAAATCGCTCACTCAGAACTTTAATGTCAGGAGCTCACAAAGTAGAATTTTTGCTCACAAGACTCCACAGCTTAGAGCAGTGGTGGTGAACCTATGGCACGGGTGCCAGAGGCGGCACTCAGAGCCCTCTCTGTGGGCACGCGTGCCATCGCCCCAGCCAGGCCCAGACCATCATTAAAGTGTTGAATTATCTGCCAAATAATTTTAAGTAAATGAAAGCATTTGGGATTGCTTTCCTTACTTTGTTTGGATCATCTTAAGTTAATGTATGAGTTGTTTTTTCTAAACTACAACCTCAGTAGTCAGGTAAACTAATTTCTGCAGCAGCCAAATCGCTCGCTCAGAACTTTAATGCCAGGAGCTCACAAAGTAAATTTTTGCTCACAAGACCCCACAGCCTAGAGGGACCCTTGATGCCGGTGGCCACTTGTTGCTGCTTATACCTGGTATTATGGATTACGTGCGTATACCTGTGAGATGCACAGATGCTTACATTTGAATTACCTAATCATTCCCATTCAACAGTCAGTCTCACACATTTCTTAATTTTCTCACCTCTTTCATATGTGCACCGCAATGTCATGTGCAAAAGCCCTAGATTCTGAAGGCCTGGGCTGCTGACGAGGTTTGGTTTGGAATTGGGTTTTTGCTCTTATCAAATTTATGAGCAGCTGGAATCTTCATAAACAGGGCTTTTTTTGTAGAAAAAGCCCAGCAGGAACTCATTAGCATATTAGGCCATACCCCTGACAGCACAGCTCTCTCCCAGGATCGGCTTCCCTAGGTGCCCCACGGCTTACGGGACGGCTGGGGAACCTGAGGGAAGAAAGGCAGTTTAAACTGCCTTC